AATACCGACATAGGCTGATGTGGTGCGTGGTGGGCGAAAGTACCAACAGCGAGGATGTTGCCGTCGGCCATCCACGACACCGAGGTGATGTAATCGTCGGCGTCGGTGTCGGGCATCTCGAAGAGCATGTCGATGTCCGACGTGGTGGCGTTCCACAGGTAGAGGCTGCGGTCGAGCGCCACGGCGAGCGTGTTCTGCGCCGACCAGTCGAGCAGGTTGAGGTAGTAGTCGTCCCTGATGCCCGGCGCGTCCAGCACCTTGTCCGCCACCGATGGCAGCCTGCGGGTGGACGAAGAAGAACCAGCAGAGGAGGAGGCGGTACCCTTGGCAGCCTTGTTGGCGGAGTAGAGGGTGCGCATCTGGTTCTGGAAGGAAGCGCTCGCGGCGGGCGCCTTGTGCTTGAAGGCCAGCACCTTGGTCGACTTGACCGCGCTCGCGTCGCCGCCGAACATGGCGTCGGAGAGCGACGACTGGAAGCGCTCCTTGGCGGGGCTCGCAATCTGGACCTGCTGCTGCTGCACGTTCTCCTTGGAGGAAGACGAAGAGGTGAGGTTGAAATGGGAGATGTCAAAGTTGATACCGTTGCGGTCGGGGATGAAACGGTCTCCGGTCATCATCTTGGCGGTGTTCATCTTGTTGGTAGTTGGGGATTGGTATGGGGGTGCTTTGTGAAAGCGAGGGTTGTGTGTAAAAGTCTCGTTGAGGCTTGGAGAAAATGGAAGAAGGCGAGCGTTGGGTTTTGTGGCTTCTCCGGCTCCCGACCGTTGAGCGTAACGGTCAGGAAGCCCAACCGGTCCAACCAACCAGAATTCATTGTGCTTTGTGAAAAGACAACGAAAACTGAATTTCTCCGTCTTTTTGGCTTCACTCCGCGTCTGGAAGAATTAGAATCAGAAATTTAGGATTGCAGATGGCGTAGATGACTAGAACTGGCAAGTTGAATGATAATATGGGCGGGCAAGGAACCTGTCTGTCAAAGCTGCATCTTTCGACTTGCTTGACGAAGCAATCTCTTTCTCCGCACGTCTTGCTGGCTTCGGGCGATTTGCGCTACAAAAAGGAAAAGGATTTTTCTCCAAAGCCTGTTTTCGCGCCAAACTTTGGTTTGAATTTCAGATTCTGATCTCGGCCCTCTGATTGTGGACAAGACGTCAGTGTTGCTGGCAGAACAGCTTGAGGGCTAGCATCTGTGGTGCATGATGAAAATCGTTTCATGGAATGTGAATGGGCTGCGGGCGATCGTGAAGAAGCTGCCATCGGGGCTGGGCGCCTTCTTCAAGGACATCGGGGCCGACATTATATGCTTGCAGGAGTCCAAGATCACAGAGAAGATGCTGACAGACGATCTCACCCAGATTCCCGGCTACGAGGCCTTCTTCGCCACCTGCAAGATGAAACAGGGCTACTCGGGCGTCTGGTACGAGTCCCCTTCTCGCCACTGCGCTTAGTGGTCACTACACGATTCAGATCAAATCGTGTGTCGCTGCTCTTATTCACACTGCGCCGTCAGCACATACGCACGCGAGGGGATCACGCTCGATGCCAAAGAGGGACTTGGCGTAGTCAAGGGTACGCTCGGTGGTCGTGTGCCGTGTGTGTCGTGTTCTGTACTTGGTGGCTGAATGAACGAAAGAGCAGAGATGGACGACGAGGGTCGGGTGATGGTGACGGACCACGGCACCTTCGTGCTGCTCAACATTTACTTCCCTAACGGTGGGCGCGGCGGCGATCGGCTCACCTTCAAGAGCGACTTCCAGGACGAGGTGCAGAAGTACTGCTCCGAATTGAGGTGCGCGCACAACTCACTTCTACCGACCACTCCGGTCTTTCCCTTTCGCGCCGTGCGCTCACGCGGCTCTCTGTCGCACGTGCAGGAGGCAGGACCGGCATGTGATCGTGTTGGGGGATGTAAATATCGCACACACGGAACTCGACATCTACAATTCTGACGTACGGCCCCGCTTGCTTCAAGTTTTCTCACTCATTCTACCACCTCGCCCAGGTCATGACGGCTAACAGCGGTTGTGTGTGTGTGATGTGTGTAATGTGTGTGATGTGTGTGATGTGTATGTGATGTCATCGTAGGATCCCGACATTAACGAGCACAGCGGGTTCTTGCCAGAGGAGCGCAAGTGGTTGAGCGGTTTCCTCGAGAGTGGGTTCGTCGACACTTTCCGAGAGCGCCACCCCGGCGAAGGCGGGCACTACACCTGGTGGTCCCCGCGCTCGGGTGCGAACTACTCCCTTTCCAGATGAGTGCGCTTGCTATACGATTGGGGACTGACCGATCTCCCGCCAGGTGCGCGTGCTGACAACCGAGGGTGGCGCCTGGACTACATCTTTGCTAACAAGGAATTCTATCAATCCGACGTGATAGATGTAAGTCCACCGACCAACTGGCAACGTGACATCATCACACTCACTATATCTTTAAATCATATTTTTATGTGGTCGGCAGGTGGGCGTAATGAGGCTGGTGGGCGGCAGCGACCACTGTCCGATCTACGTCACGCTCAAGCACCAACCGCCGCCCCCACCGCACTCGCCGCCGCTCC